TGGTGCCTCCTGTGAGGTTCGAACTCACGACAAAGTGACCCCCTGGTCTGCGAGAAGCGATCAGCCAAGGACATCAGCGTCACGCTCAAGAAAAGAGCGCTCAAGAAAAGAGGTTGGACTTCCCGAATCAGCGCCGCGAAGGAAGTCACACACACACGTTATCGTCACAAGTAAGTCGTTCATTCCCGATCCGTCCTAGTTCTCACACGGCCGCAATAATGGCAGACAAGATCAAGCTTCTTGTACAAAAAAGGACAACATTAAAATCCCAACTTACCAACTTAGCCAATATATTGGAAAAAGGCAAAATAGATAACGCCAATCTAAAATTACGAAGTGCTCGCTTGACAGAACTATTCCACGCGCTAGAAGAGCACAATGACGAATTAGTAGTATTAGATCCAGATAACAATCATCAAATCGAGTTTACAAGCCTTCAAGACCGGTATTGCGCGCTTGCGAGTAAAATCGAAGGGTTGCTCAATCCAACTAACGTAGCGAACGGTAGTACCGCGAGCGGTAGTACAGCGAACGATGACACACAGTCCGACAGTTCACAGAGCATAACTACCAAAAAACGACGGATAAAATTACCCGACGCTCCGCTCCCAACCTTTGACGGCCAATATGAAAATTGGCTCTCCTTTAAGAACGCGTTCAACAATATGATAGGGTCCCAAACAGATTTGTCGGACGTAGATAAATTACATTATTTGAAGTCGGCGCTGACAGGAGTAGCTGCCAATAAAACGAAGACATTTACTATCGACGGTATAAATTACGCAAAGGCATGGGAATTGTTGGAACGCGCCTACGAGGTAAAACGCATACTAGTCTCGCGACATTTATCGCTAATCATAAACTTTCCCGCGTTAGACAGAGAATCCACAGAAGGCCTATCTAAAATAGCTGACGAATTTCAACAACACATAGCTTCGTTAAGCGCGTTGGGCGTATCGGTCGGGTCAGAAATATTAGTTCATCTTCTAGAAAGTAAATTGCCAAAGGGGACCATAGATAAATGGGAAGCAACGCTACAAAGAGACGAATTTCCAAGAGTCGAACAAATATACGAATTTATGTACAAAATCGCGGTTTGCGCGTCTAAACATGAAAGAAGTAGGATATCACAAACGGAAGGGAATAAAGGCGAACCTCCGATGAAGAAAGGACGAAGTTAGGTCGGGTCAAGTCCTTTAGTAAACTCAGCACGTAATTGTATAACGTGTAAAACCAAACAACACGCACTCTACTTATGCGACGAATTCAAACGTTTGCCGGTACTTAAACGTATCGATATGATAAAAAATGCGAACCTATGCTATAATTGCTTACGATCGCATCGCGGAACGCCGTGCAAATTTACTACTTGCACAATATATCAAAGGCGACATAATACGTTACTTATACATCTAGATAACTTACGACGACTTATTTACACATTTAATACGTTTTCGTTCACATAGTTATGCTATTATTGGAGATATAGAGAAAATGTATAGGCAAGTGCTAGTACATGAAAAAGACAGACATTATCAGCAAATTCTCTGGCGCATACACGACGAAATAAAGACGCTTCAACTTAACACCTTAACATTCGGCGTTTCCTCCGCACCCTTTCTCGCAGTACGGGTCATACAAAACCTCGCGGAGGACGAAGGGCATGCACATCCTAGGGCGGCTCTAATCCTTAAAAAACACCTATACGTAGATAATTTATCCACCGGCGCCGAGACCATAAACGAAGCTAGAGCAATTAGAGACGAGATAATCGCGTTGTTGGCCAAGGGCGGCTTCCTCATGCGACAGTGGGCAACTAATGACGAACGGATTCTTAACGATCTCCCAACCAGCATGTTACATACAGATACACGGTTTTTGCGACGCCAGTAATAACGGTTATGGCGCGAGTCTGTACGTACGTTCGATCGGAATCAATGGAAAAGTAATTTGCAGATTGTTATGTGCCAAATCGCGAGTCGCTCCATTAAAATCAACAACGATACCACGTTTGGAACTTTGCGGCGCGCTACTATTGGCGCGACTACTTAGGGAAGTCAATAACGCGCTAAACATTGCAACTAATAAAATCACTCTCTGGTGTGACTCGACGATCGCGCTACATTGGTTAAAGACTCCTCCCCACTTGCTTAAAACATTCGTTGCTCATCGAATCGCTGAAACACGAACACTTACCAAATCAATAGAGTGGCGACATATTAAATCAGAATTCAACCCCGCCGACGCTATTTCTAGAGGGCAATTACCTCAAATTTTACTTCAAAATAAAACATGGTGCACCGGCCCTCAGCGGTTAAGTAGATCTGAGAATGAATGGCCTCGCGCAATAATGCAAACTATAGAGACTCCCGAATTGAAAGGAAACACTTGTCTAATGATAACACCCCGCGATCCCGACATATTTAAAAGATACTCATCGTATTCCAAATTATGCAGGATCATCGCGTATTGTTTCCGGTTTCATCCTCTTAACAAATATAAGGGCAATTTAACAGTCGAAGAAATCGAAGCAGCGGAAGTGAAAATACTAAGAATAATCCAACCATCTCAATTTTCCGAGGAAATTAAGGGACTTGAATCAAAGGGTGTCACTAACAGAAATAGAATAGCCAACTTGAACCCATTTCTGGATAACGATGGCCTGATTCGGATAGGAGGACGTCTGCGAAAGGCGAATCTATCTTACTCACAAAGATACCCCATTTTGCTTCCAAGCCGACATTACCTAACCGATTGTATTATCCGCGAAATTCACGAGACGCGACATCATACAGGTATATTAGGTACCTTATACAATATCCGACAGAAATTTTGGATTTTAGACGGCCGAAACCAGGTACGAAAAATCGTTCACTCTTGTGTGCGTTGCTATCGATTCAATAACGACACCATAAAATACAAAATGGGAAATCTTCCGCAAGTTCGAGTGCGTGAAGCCATTCCCTTCGCCAATACCGGCGTCGATTTTTGCGGACCGTTTTACATTAAAGAGAAAAAACACCGCAATCGCATTCGAATAAAGGTGTACGTTTGTATATTTGTGTGCATGACAATAAAGGCGGTACACTTTGAAGTAGTGAGCGATTTAACCTCGGACGGCTTCTTAGCAGCTCTGCGACGGTTCATCTCGAGACGGGGCATACCAGCCCAAGTTTATTCCGATAATGGAACCGTAGGCGCGAACAACCAATTGAGGGAAATGTACGCTTCGTTTAACTCCGATAAACATAAGAATACAATTGATCGGTTTGCATGCGAAAACCAAATTAAATGGCACTTCATCCCGCCAGCAGCACCACACTTTGGTGGGCTATGGGAATCCACCGTGAAGCTCTTCAAGCATCACTTCAAACGGGTAGTCGGAGATGCACTCTTCACATTCGAAGAGTTAAATACATTAGTTGTAGAAATCGAGGGTATCCTTAACTCCAGACCCATCACCTCCCTCTCTCCAGACCCGAACGACTTGCTAGCGTTAACGCCAGGGCATTATCTCATCGGCAAACCGATAACCTCGCTTCCGGAGAAGAAGTTGTCTTCTGTTCCAGCAAACCGACTAACTGTTTGGCAACACATAGTTAAGAAAAAAAACACGCCATGCGCACAATGGGCACTAGGCAGAATCCTTACGGTACACCCAGGCGAAGACGGAGTAGTGCGAGCTGCCACCGTCAAGACAACATCCGGAGAGACGAAGCGAGCGACCAAACAAATGTGTCCACTACCAATAACCTAGCGGCGAGTCATATCACATAAGTACATTGTAAACCGAATGTATTGTAAACGGCGATTTAAACCACATAGGTTGATCGTTGTACTCTCAACGGGGGGAGTA